TAGTATTTTTTCCACCAAAAAGCACTTGTTTGGCAATATCGCATAGCCACGACATCGCCAAAAGGGGCAATTGATAGGGTATCTTAAGTACTAAAGAGGCAAAACCCTAAGCTAATGGCATAAAGAAGGAAAGAAGACAAAAGAGCAAAAAGACAAGCCCAGACACCTGACATCAGCAAGGACAAGGGGCAGTGGGACACCCTCTGTCAAAAAGGACTATGTACAGTGTCAGAAAGTCTGAGGCGCCCGACCACAACATTTATGGCTTGGCAGGCGCCCAGACCACGACCTAACCCTCAAATGTGTATAAATAGGAGTTCTCTCCTCATAAATGGCAATCTATCTACTGTTACTCTAACTTCTCTCTACTTTCTCTCTCTACATACTTCTTCTCTTCCTCTGCTTCGGACGAGGCGGGGCGCCTACCACTTCAAGGTCATGGCTGACACCTCAAACCCCTTGGACCCGAGCGACTCCCAGTCGATCGGGCTCAAACAAGGTCTATTTTTGCTATCTCTATCACAAAGCTACATATTTCAAATACCTAACAATGACTCGAAATCTCTATCCTACAAATTATATAAGAAAGTTGAAAATTTGTACATTTTGTTACAAACTCTCTTCCCTTTTGACCAGAAATCTAAATCAAATTAATTGAGAACCATCAATGGTGTCACTTTGGATGGCACCCAAATTGTTTTGTTCCTCATTTTTCTACCCTTCGGAGACACCCATGGGCCAGGCCATTGACCACACAGATTGCACATCAACGCCAGCAGTACCGTTAGGGGCGTTGTTGAGTGGTTAAGGTTGATGATACCCATCCCATGCATGGCGGCTTAGCTAGCTAGATTCCCCCATATAATTAAGCAGCGAAGATAAATATAATTGTGGCCATGCTCGTCGGCTTCTTTTCCTTAAAGGTTCGTTTGCTTGATGGATTTGGGTCATGAATTTGGGACTTAAAATCCCAAGCATGATGGATTTTAGCCAAGTTCATTGTTTGTTGTCAGGTGTTAAATCTGTGGGGTCCACGGATTTGTTCCCTTTTTTGTATCCAAATCCGTGGACCCCACGGACTTGTAAATCACACTTATTAGGGTGGGATTTGTAAATCCTTGATGACTAGTTATATTTATAGCAAATCCATCATAATTATATCATCAAATCTATCATGCAAACAATAGACTCATCAAATCTATCATGCAAACAATAGACTCTTCAAATCCATGATGATACAAATCCCTCATAAATCCAAAGGTTTTTTTGAACCAAAACCCTCATTTTTCAAATCCATCAAGCAAACGACCCCTAAATGACAAATGCTATAGAATGAAGGAAATTTCAGTGTCATTTTTTCAAGGAATGAAAAAGGTATTATTGGCGGTTTGACCAGAAAAATCTTCCATCGAATGCTAAATCGGTAGATGGTATGAAATGGTTGAAGAACGGGTAAACTATGAATTCGGCATAAATATTCTACCACTGACTTTTCCAATACAACATCTTGTGCGGTTTTACAATTCTTGTTTTTTCCCCTTAATTAAAGATGAACGTTCACATTCCAGGTTCTAGAGACATCATCCATCTACCATCTTTCAACAACTTGAGTTTTCACGTGATTTTATAGTTTATAATGACAAACAAAATTTATGTTCAAATTTATGTGACTTTCAATATCAACAATCGATTAAATTGAGATCCATTCAAATCATTTTAAACAATTCAAATTATTATTGAAATAAGTTGATTTTCGATAGAAACCACCCGTATCTAGAAATCCCCACTACTTCTAGAAAACTTCAACGTCTTACTACAGATCATTACACAAACAGCCAAATATATCTAGTGGTGCATGATGGAGAATCCTCGAGTGTCAGTTTATGATAAGAAGTAGTCGTGTTCTTTTTTTCTTTCCTATTGGAGATTGAATGTCCTAATCGTTCGATCTTGATAAAGAAGACAAGATGTACACACTTCCAATAATTTTGGTCACAGTTTGGCTTTCTGTGCTTCTGATAATGGCATGGCATCAGTTCATTTCAATTATTATAGTTTTAGTTAGACCCCACAAATTTGTTTTCCTTTTTCTATCCGTAATTTGTGCCTCAAATTTCAGGCCATATGTTTTTTTTTTGGGTCAGAAGATAATGGCATGGCATCAGTTCATTTCAATATTATATAATTGTTTTTAGCGAGACTCTGTTAGATGAGCAACCAATCAAAAAGTTCATAACCAAACACAAATATCAAATTAGACATAATCTCATCGGAAAGAGAGGAAGATGACTTTCCTCGACACATTATGAGATGCTCTATTTTTCTCCGGACCAACAAAAGACCCAATAATTTTCTCCAAGACAGAACCAGCTATCGCATCCCATCTATCTCTACAACGAACTCTGTTGATACTTAGCTGAGAATCTCTCTGGATTGAAAGTAAGAGGCCGACGAAGAACAATAACAAACCTCATTAATTAAGAAATTCTGAATTCATGACGTAGTCCTTTACCTTCGCTTTTTTCTTTTGACTTAATTAGTTCTCTGTTTTCCCCCCTGATGTAGAGTCTTTGAAATTTAGTGGTTGTAATAGTAATAATTTTAAGTGGTAGCATATGAATTATTTTGTTTTGGTTAAAATTTTAGCTTGTTCGGTTTGATTTCGAACACTACTAATCAATCAAACTGATTAATAAATTGCATAAACACTAAAGAGTCTACTCTCTACTATTACTAAATTTTGAACCTGTTGGGGGCATACAGTGAGTGGCCCAAGTAAGGGGCCAAGGAGTCGAATTGGGCAGGGGCCAAGGAGTGGAATTGTACTGGAAGTGTGGGCCTGACAAAGAGGAGGCCCGGCCCAAAAAAAGGCTAGAGGCTATGGCCCAGGCGGTGGGACCGAGCCTGAGGTAGGGCTCATGACGACAAAAGGGTAGCAACGGCCGGAAGCGTACGAAGGAGACAAGAGGTGGGGCCATGCGCCTCCAGGGCGAGGGACGGTGTCAGAGTGTCGGGGCGCCTGTGGAGAGGAAGGTACAGTGCATTTAATGAGGTGATGACGTGGGGCGGATTTGGGGGGCAGTGGTCGACCCTACCCCGAGTATAAATAGTGAAGTGGGTGGAGCTCATTTACTCAGGTTCCAACTTCTCTCTAAAACTTACATCTCACTTCTCTCTCTAGAAAGATCATTCTGACTCTGGCGTCGGAGTGCTAACGAGCCTCTCCCAAGGAGGGCTCGGTGGGCGCCTTTGTGTGCAGGAAGGAGGACGCGAAGCAGAAGCGTGCGGGAGATAGGTGGCGTGCGAGAATCATCGAGAGCGGGAGGTTACGTGGCACAAACAGAACCTATAAAAAAAATATGATTGACGTCGTTTCGACATGAATCGCTTTCATAATAACAATTGTGATGCTAGTGTATCGAATACACTAGAAAAAGTGAGTGTACCAAAGACAAAATCTTATACTCAAGATAAACATATGAGTTGATTTTTATATTTAATCATATTTTATATATATATATATATAGGCTAAATTGCACGTTTGGTCACTCAAATTATACAAATCTTTCACGTTTGCCACCCAAATTACTTTTCTTTTTTATTCGCCACAAACTTTACGAATAGTTTCACCATTAGTCACCAACCGTTAAACTCTGTTAAATTTGTCCTACATGGCAGTCAACGGTAAAGTTTGACTGTTAACTAGATGACGTGGAAATTAAAAAACTAGAAAAAAATAGTTTCAATTTCCACCTCATCATTCCACTTACATTTATCATTTTAATTATTTAATAAATAAAAAACAAAAAATCGACATGTCCGCCGATCTCGATTCCCAGCCCAGCTTGCCCCAAATAGTCGGGATCGGTCTCCGGGACACTCCCTGGGCTTGCAGTGGCGGCGCCAAAGACGACCTTATAGTTATGAACGATAATTGAGATCAGAATAATCCCGTGGAGAAGGAGATTCTCAATTCCAGCGACGAGGAATACCACAAAAATTGGCGGAATTCAAGATCCCGACGATCCTAAGCTGACAGCCGGCGCCGAGGAAATCGAAAAGCACGCCAATCTCCTGCAAGCGGAAGCTGGTGTCGGAGCTGGCCTTCATTGACATGGTCAACCGGGTGGAGGTCGAATCTTCTTCCGATACGGTTTGCAGCTGGCCAAGCGGATCAGGTGCACCGATCTCATCCCTTGTAATTTGTTAAAAGAAAAGCAGAGTATATATCGCCGGCTGAGAAGAACGGGGTCGTATCGATGGAGCTCGATCCATTCCCCGTCGGTAAATGGACAAATCACTATGGGCATTGTGTCTCGGCAGGGCAGCATGGCAAACCGGAAGTGTCCACGAGAGCAACCTCCTAGGCGGTGGCGGTGGATCCATGTTCGAAAGTTTTAATTGCAATAATAATTTCAATCTTGCGTACCACTAGGGATGGCAATTTACCCACCCATGGGTAATTTTGCCCAAACCCAAGTAGACCCATTTATTATGGGTAGGGTTTGGATGATGTGTGTATGGGTTTGGGGTTTGTAAATGGGTTTGGGTTAGATATGGATATTATCTAAATGGGTATGGGTTGGATATGGATATCCATTTACTTAAGAGTGTTTTAATACACATGCAAAAATTGGACTTATTTGTAAAACTTGAAAAGTTTAGGTACCAAAATGTAAGGCCAAAAAAATTTAGGTACCAAAACGTAATTTTCCATCGATATTTTGAGGACTTATATGCAAAAAAAATTAAATATAGGTACTAAATATGCATACCTATTAAGTTTAGGTACCAAACTGTAATTTGTATTTGGGCATGGGTACAAACCCAAATCCATTTGTTATAAATCCAACCCAACCCAAAGTAAATGGGTATGGGTACAAACCCATCAAACTTTACCCATATCCATATATTTGGATTTCATACCCAACCCAATTGGGTTGGATAGTAAAATACCCATGGGTATGGGTAAAATTGCCATCCCTACGTACCACAATGAATTAGTCGATCCCTTGAATGAGAGCATACGTAGGCCGTCCAGATGCTATCGTTGGCGAAGTTGGCCGCGGAGAGCCAGAGTGGCATGAACTCCACGCTCTTAGTCTTGTACACCTTGGCCATGACGGGGAGCGGGGAGGCGTACATAATGGTGTTGAATACCACAGCGACGTTGACGATGGTGTTGTGGGAGTGTTGGCTGTGGAAGCCGACGAGGGCGACGACGACGATGACGCGGAAGAACACCACCTTGTCGAGGAGTCCAGGAGGAACTTCTTGCAGCTCTTGTTGTGGCGGTCGTAGAAGACGAAGATGGAGAGGTAGACGAGCTTGAGTGCCAGTCCGAAGAGTGATCCCGATTTGATTTTGGACAAGATGGGTCGGGAATTGAGATCGGCGGACATGGCGCTTTTTTATTTATTAAATAATTAATATTATAAACTATATGGACTAAGTGGAATGATGAGTTGGAAATTTAAATTATTTTTTTTATTTTTTTAAATTTTCACGTCATTTAGTTGACGGTCAAACTTTATAGTTGACTGCCACGTAGGACAAATTTAACGGAGTGTAACGGCCGGTGACTAACGGTGAAACTATTCGCAAAGTTAGTGGCGAATAAGAAAGAAAAGTAATTCGGGTGACAAACGTGAAATATTTGTATAATTTGAGTGACCAAACGTGTAATTTAGCCTATATATATATATATATATATATATATATATATGGGGAGTTCTACGGTACCCAGGGTGAAATCCTGAGTCCTTGAGTAAGAAAACGCTATCCGTAACTTGAATTGACTGATCTTTCGGACATGATACTATACTCTAACCCTTAAAGATCAAAATCTAGGTCTTAATTCTCTAAATCTTATACACCAAGATCAATTTAATTAGAAACAATAATCGACGGCTATGATTCGTCCAAATATAGGCAAAAAATCAATGCACCATCTTAGGGTTTATAGTTTACGATTTAGATAATTAGGACCTAGGGTTCACTCATTAAGGGTTAGGGTATAGTATCATGCTCAAAAATCCTGTTAATACAAGGTCTAGATAGCGTTTTCATACTCAAGGTATGCGGTCCACGGGATTTCACCCGGGGTACCGTAGAACTCGCTATATATATACTATACTCTCACCCTTGGAGATCAAAATCTAGGTCTTATTTCTCTAAATCTTATACTCTAAGATCAATTTAATTAGAAACAATAATCGACGGTTATGATACGTCCAAATATAGGCAAAAAAAATGAATGCACCATCTTAGGGTTTATAGTTTATGATTTAGATAATTAGGACCTAGGGTTCACTCAATACGGGTTAGGGTATAGTATCATGCCCAAAAATCCTGTTAATTCGAAGTCTAGATAGCGTTTTCATACTCAAGGTATGCGGTACCCTGGATTTCACCCGGGGTACCGTAGAAGACATCATATATATATATATATATATATATATTATAGATCGATGCATTAACATGAGATTTTTTCTCACTCAATGATAATATTATGGTATATCATTAACCCAATTTACCAATTCACCAAACTGTATAAACCTCAGTTTAATTAATTTGATCATTCGGTTAATATTATATTCTATAGTTAGTAAAATTTAGACTTAACAAATTTTTTAGTTATAATGATAACTATTTGAACACCCTCATAACTCTCCATATGACCATTGAAGCTCAATATAAAGTGTTCTTTGTAAAAGTTGTCTCATAAATAATTGACACGTGCAAACTAGTTTTTATATAAAACAATTGAGAATTATTTTTATATTACGTAATAAGAAACTATAGACGAGATTGAATAAAATGTTTATTGATCAGTTAACTTGATTGCAATATGAAAAAATAAGTTATGTACGTCAATACAAACTAAGATGAATGAGATGAATGAGTAATTGAATAATTTGCATAAAAATATATGGTAAATTGTTATGGAACAATCCAAGTACCACATCGGTAATACAAGGGAAGGAACCCTTGTATATTAGTGTCCATCTAGCCCAATTAGTACGAGGCCTTTTGGGGAGGATGCCCAAGAGTAAAACCGTGCGGGCTTGACCCAAAGCGGACAATATTGTACTAATTGAGCGGCCCGATTTGACAAGTGGTATCAGAGCCTGGTTCGGGTCCAGGGCGGTTGACGTCAGTTCGGTGGACCCTCATTTGATGACCTCAGGATTTGAGATCGACGTCTGGTTGGTGGATCTAGGAGAGATCCACGTCTGTTTGGCAGATCAAGCGAGATCTGCGTCTGGGCTGTTTGGTGGATCCAGGAGAGATCCACGTTTGGTTTGGCGGATCGAGGGAGGTCCGCGTTTGTGTGGTGGAGAGATCCACGTTTTTTTGGTGGATCAAAGAGATCCTTGTACCGAGAAGCCCATCGATACAAGGTGTCTAGCAGATCAAGATAATCGCTGAGGTGAGGACACGATGTTCGTGGTCCTTGTCTTGAGGGGAGGATTGTTATGGGACAATCCAAGTACCACATCGGTTGTACAAGGAAAGGAATCCTAGTATATAAATGTCCACCAAACTCGTTAGTACGAGGCCTTTTGGGGAGGACACCCAAGAGTAAAACCGTGCGGGCTTGGCCCAAAGCAGAGCCAAACACCTCTAAAAGTTCAGCTTTTGAAAAGCGGAAAAACGCTTTTGTAAAACATAAAAGCAGAAGCTCCGATTTGGAACTTCTGCGAAAAGCTGTTTTGAAAATATAGATTATCCTTACACTATTTTTAATTTTATTTCAGAAAATATAATTTTATTACATTTATATTATTTTAAAAATAAAATAAATTATAAAAGCATATGTATTTGGTCATGGTGAGTATGCTGTAAAGAAGGATTTAGCAGGGGGTTTAACTCCTCTCCCAAGCATGAATCAATGCTTGGTTACATAGCTAAATATAAAATAAAGGTGTTTGCAGTTCTGGAAACACGAGTCAAGGTTAATAAAGCAGAGAAAGTACGTGAGAAGTTTAGGGACTTTACATTTAGAGATAACTATGAGTTCAGTCCTCTAGGTAGAGTATGGTTAGCTTGGAAGGATGAAGTCAAACTCAGCATCTTGGCTAAAGATATGAATTTTATCCACGCTTTGGTTTCCATTTCGCAGCAGGAACAGTTCTTCATGACAGCGGTTTATGCTTTGAATGATGAGGCAGAGAGAGCGGCAACTTACATGAGATTGAGTAAATGGAAAGTTAAGGGATTCCCATGGTTGGTGTGTGGTGATTTTAACGCGATCATCAACCCTCTTGAGGCGTCTAATGAGGTCTCAATTTCTTCGAGTATGAGTAGTTTTCGTGAATGGATGAGGGATATGGAACTGGTAGACCATCAAGCGTCAGGTACTTTCTTCACTTGGATAAATCAGCAGACAACTAATCCCATAGCTCGTAAGCTGGATCGTATTATGGTAAATGAGGACTTGTTGGATAGACTACCAGATTGTATAACATAATTTCTTCCCCCATCATTTTCAGATCACAGTGGCATGTTGATCAGACCTTGCATCCCAAGAAAGAGTTTCCCTAAACCTTTTCGTTTCTATGATATGTGGTCTCAGCACCCTTCCTATGAGGGGATTCTGAAGGATGTTTGGTGTCAAAAACTCTCTGGAATAGCAATGCAAGCAATAAAAGAAAAGTTTAAACTGCTGAAGCTGGAGCTCAAGAGGCTCAATAAAGAGCACTTCTCTGACATTTCAGGTAGAGTCAGGGAGGCGAATGTTATCCTTCAGGCAGCACAGACTCAAGCAAGGGAGACTCCTTCCACGTCTACCTTTGCTCGGGTTCAGGAGCTTACTGGGGAATTGAGCAGCCTGAGATTGGCTGAGGAGAGCTTCTACAGGCAATGATCTCGCATTCAGTATCTAACTTTGGGAGATATGAACTCTGGATTTTTTCATAAATCAGTGAAGATCAGACAAGCAAGGAAACAATTACGAAAGCTGATTAGTGACACGGGAAGGGAGATCACTGATGAGGAAGAGATAGCTTCAAAGGCTGTTCACTTTTACCAAGCACTTTATGGAGTGATCAACCATGCAGTTGTCCCTGATAATACTGTCATTTCTAAATTTCTTACACGGTACATTAATGAGTCAAGCAAGGCCACACTCTGTGCAGAGGTGATCAATGAGGAAATAAGGTTGGCTTTGTTTGCTATGGATCCTTTAAAGGCTCCTGGCCCTGATGGGTGGACAGTGGGATTTTATCAAAAGCACCGGGGTCTGATTGGTGAGGATGTTTGTGCTGGTGTTAAGGAGTTTTTTAGGACAAAGCAGCTACCTCGAGGTATTAACACAGCCTCTCTTACTTTAGCACCAAAAGTCCCTAATGCTGATAAACTCACTTCTTTTAGACCAATTGCATGCATCAATGTGTTATACAAAATAATTGCAAAGATTCTAGCAAACATAATTCAAACAGCTTTACCCGAGGTTATAAGTAAAAATTAGTCTGCCTTCATTTAGTGGAGGAGTATCTTGGACAATATTTTGATGGCTCAGGAGATAGTCCATAATTACTCAAAGGAAAAATTAGCATCTCGTTGTGCCATTAAGATAGATCTCCATAAGGCGTTTGATTCTGTTCATTGGGAATACCTATTCTGTGTGATGTCTGCTATGAAATTCTCTGCTGAGTTTATAGATTGGATTCGGGTATGCCTTAGCTCAGCTTATTTTAGCATCAATCTATATGGTTCCTTGTTTGGTTTTTTCAAGGCTCAGAAAGGGGTTAGGCAGGGAGATCCCCTCTCTCCCTGCCTCTTTGCTATTGCACTTGAACCCCTATATGGAATGTTGGATAATGCTGCAGTGACAAAACAGATACCATACCACCCTCAGTGTAGATCAATAGACCTCACTCATCTGTGTTTTGCAGATGATCTATTGATCTTCACTAAGGGGTCTGCAGTAGCATTGCTTAAGATTCAGGAAATTTTGAATAAGTTCAGTTTGCTGTCTGGTCTGAGTTGTAACCCAAAGAAGTGCGAGGTGTTTTTTGGTGGTATGGCTGCTCAATTTAAGGAGAATGCCCTCTCTTTATCTGGTTTTACTGAGGGGAAATTACCCGTTCGATATCTGGGCCTTCCACTTATTGCGGGACAACTGACAAGCAGGGAGTGCGGGGTGCTGGTGGATAAAATCACGGCTAGAATTAGGTCGTGGCGAGCTAACAAGCTCTCATATGCAGGAAAGCTTCAACTCATTTCATCGGTACTCTATTCTTTGGTTCGATTTTGGATGAACATCTTTGTCTTACCAAAGAAGGTACTAGATCAAATTCAAAAGGTTTGCTCAGATTTTCTGTGGTTTAGTGAGGGGACTGGTCAAGCTAAAGTGGCGTGGGATTCAGTGGCAGTTCCAAATAAAGAAGGAGGAATGGGACTAAGAGATCTAGGTAGCTGGAATGTGGCATGTATTGCGAGGCTGTTATGGTTATTATTGATGAAAAGCGGAAGCTTCCGGGTAGCATGGATTCAGCGCTACAGGCTGAGGGGAAGATCAATTTGGGACCTGTCTTCCTCACAAACAGGGTCATGGATATGGCGGAGACTCTTAGCTAATCATGGATGGTTCCAATACAGGTTTGCTACCACTTCAGCAGGAGAAGTGACTTGGGAAGGGAAGGTAATAGCTCGCTTTTCCATCCAGCAGGTATGGAATTCTATTAGACCCAAACATCCGAAGGTTGAATGGTGGCGGGTGATCTGGAACAAATTTGTGATTCCTAAGAACAGGGTACTTACATGGTTGATAATTCTGAACAGAATTAATACTTTGGATAAACTGAGGCAATGGGGGAAAGTAACAAACTCATTTTGTGTGTTGTGTGATGGAGACGAGGAGAGCAGAACCCATCTGTTCTGTACATGTCCCTATTCTCTGCAGGTTTTCGCAGCCATCTTTGGCGAGAGTCCTTGGCCAAGCTCGTGGGAAGACCTATTGAAATGGATATGCAGAATAGCCAAGCAAGGGGGTAAAGGCCTGGTGAAGAGTGCATTGTGGTGCTGTGTCTTAGTATTATTTGGAAAGAACGCTGCTTGCGTATATTCCAGAGCAGCAAAAGAGATTGCAGGTTGCTTATACAACAGTTAGTTGAGGATTTCAATTTCTATGCTATGGGGAATGTTAATTTTCTTATAGAGGTTATAGCGATTCCCCAGCTCAGTAGTCTGCTGGTTTTTTGACAGTTAGGCTTTTAATTCTTGTTTACCTTTGTAAAAGGGATAAGTGGAGCAGGTCTGTTGCTCCTTGTTTTTTGGGATCCTGGGTTTTTCCAGGCAGTGCTTAAATGAGAAGTCCTATAATTACCGGGATAAAAAAGAAGGATTTGGGCGTAAGTGCCTCAGGATTTTTCGAGACTCTTTGCTATTGGCAAAGGGTGGGCTTAATGGTCACTGCTAATTACTGGGAAAAAATATTATAAAATTATATTATTTTATATAAAAGAAATATAATAAGATCCATTTTGACTACATTTTATTGTTTATAATTATTATTCTTAGTTTATATTATAAGTCCTTTATAATCATTTTATACAACCTCACATATTAAAAAGTACTTCTAATAGTTTTTCAACCAAACACTCAACTGTTTTTTTTAGTACTTGTGTAAAAGTTCAAGCCAGAAGCTCCTTCTACAAAAGGTATAATAGGGCCAAACTGAAACTATTTCTTAAAAAAAAATCAGAAAGGAATTCAAATTACAATCCAAATTCAAGAGAGACACACGTCTTTTCTCTCGTTGATCAGCTTCCCATATTTATGAACATCTTTCTAATGCAGTATTGGCTCGTCAAGAGAAATTGTTGGTATAAGCATGATGAGTTGATGATTTCAATGATTCAATCCAAGTGCAAGTGGAAGAGTTATTCACGATAGTGCTCTAAAACTATACCACACCACAATTGATAATCGTAGTCTAGACTCCGTTGAATTAAGGGTAAATATAAATTATTTGTCAAATTTTTTAAATTGTCCAAATTATTAACTAAATATTTCAAAATATAAAATATTAGCCAAATTTTTGTACCGTATCAAAATATTAGCCATTTGTCTGTTATCATTCATAATCTTGTAACTCTTTTTTTAATTAAAATACTAAAATTTTGTAATGGTAACCATCACATCCACATGTCTCTTCCAAGTAAATATCATGTTGTCAAGTCAATATTACTAACAAAACTACTAACAAGAAGTAAAATTTGGCTAATATTTTATTATTTTGAAAAGTTTGGCCAATTATTTGAAAAGTTTGAAAAATTGGGCTAGTAAATTGTATTCACCGTTTACTTAATGATGTAAAGAGAATAGGGGATGAAACTTTAGTGCAAGTGGAAGAGATTGTTAGTGCTCTAAATTGATATTTGTAGCAATAACGGATGCATACGTATGTGTTCTTTGTCCTAGGAGATTTGGTTATTCGAGAGATAAATCATATTCTTATTACATATGTTTTTCCAACAAATGATGTTACCAATGTTTTTGTATTGGTTACTTTGATTTTGATAACACATGAAAATGTGCATTAGAGGTCAACCTTGCAAAATATGATAGCATTATGTAATATTTATCACCAAAAATGGAAGACATGGTGATAATTGAAGCAAGAAATAATGGTTTTTTGGTGAGGAAAATAATATTTATCATCTGAAAATATTTTGGTATGTCATATACGTCCCTATTGCTTCAAATACTTAGAATCATCGACGAGATATTTATTCAATGCGCATTCTGCCTATTGTCCTTGTGATTAATGATTTTCCAACATAACAGGATGAGAACAAATAGATGTGACTGAAAATATATTGACAATGCTTTAGATTGGAATTGCTGGCCTTGTTGGACAACCTGAAATTGCAAATGAGTCTAAGCGGACACATGTAACATGGTAGACCAATCGGTTCTAAGCGACATAATAGTTATATGAATGTTGTACCAATCCTCTTTGGCACACCTTGTGCCAACAAACATGATCCTTACACATATTAGAGCACCGTCGGAAATTGAAACACTTTTTCATGCAAGTTAAATATATGTATGCACACAAAATTTTATTTCCCCTATAATTTGTGCGTTCTGAATTTCAGCCTAGAAAAAACTCATATAAACACACTTTCGTACTTTACCGAAGTATACGTAAATTAAATTCCCTTGGGTAGCTCATCACTCCTCTATATATCTCCACGAGAACCACTTGGTCGAGGGAGAGCAAAACTCATCAGAGAAGTAGCATTTCATCATCATACGACTAGCAATAGAAATGAAGGTGGAGCAACAGAAGAAGCAGCAGCAAAGCAACACCAAAATGAATACTCCAAATCCTCCCCACGTTCTGATCCTGCCGTTTCCATTCCAAGGCCACATCAACCCAGCCCTCCAATTCTCCCGCCTCCTCATCTCCAAAGGACTCCGAGTCACCCTCATCGTCTACGCCGAAATTACCACCGAGTTGACCCAAGGCCAACTCGGCTCCCTCGCCGTCCACTTCCTCTCCACCCACGACGACGAAGAAGAAGAACCGGCCGTACAAGCGGGCGGATTCGGCTTCCTCGACAGGTTCGCCAAAACGGTGAAGAAGGAACTGCCACGTGTGGCTTGTGAGATCGAGAGGGAGACCGGATCCGGTGCGGCCTGCCTCGTCTACGACTCGGTGGCTCCCTGGGCTCTGGAGGTCGCTAGGGAGATGAACATCCCGTGTGCTTCCTTCTTCACCCAGCCTTGCGCCGTGGACGCCATTTTATACAGTTATTACGAAGGCAGAATCAGAGCTCCGATTACCGACAAGGAGGAGAAGTTTCGGGTTGACGGTATGGCGGAGGTGTCGCTGGCGGTCCATGACCTGCCTTCTTATCTTCATGATGAAGATGACGAATACGCGCCCGAGTGTTTGGCCCTTTTGGCTGCCCAGTTTTCCAACGTGGCGGGTGCTGATTGGGTCTTCTGCAACACTTTCACTGCCCTTGAAGAAAAGGTGCGTAGTAAAGAATAAGGTTGATTCACTGCCTTGACGAGTTATTCACGTCATTTGGCAATTTTTTTTTTTTTTTACGGGTCATTTGGTAATTATTCATATATGAGTATTCACCATCGAGATAAAAACATCACATTTGAGATTTGACCCTTGCTATCTTTTATTTTATGACGTTCGTGATTATTTTTTTTGTTCTCGTGGATTAGTAAGTTCCAAAAAAAAATTTCATCACTCCCTCATCAAAAAGAAATTTCTTTTTCCCCTAGTAGTTTTTATTTGCCCAATTGTGTGGAGTTAAATATAGATTTTCTATTTTTCTTTAAAAATGAGTTGTGTTGATCATAATCCGGGGCGGATACATGGGCCTCTAGGGGTGTCCCGGGACACCCCTAAAATTTGGAGAAACGATTATCCAACGGGACACCCCTAAAATTTGGGGAAACGATTATCCAACCTCCGATAATAGTTTCGTATGGGTATACAAAATATAATTGGTAATTCGGGACACCCTAATATTTGAAAAAATGATTATCCTACCCTCGATAATAGTTTGCTTATGATTAACAAAATATAAGTGGTAGTCCGTGTTATTCCAACCTAGGACACTACTATTATCAAACATATTCTAATTATGTTGCTACTCATTTGTTATTCTATTTTAAACATCATGCAACAGTAAAACGCTATTTCTTTATCCCCAACTATTTTCAATACCTAATAATTAAACTACATACACGCTACTCTTAATTTTGAATTGATTTTATGGTTACATGACAAGTGTTGAAAGAGTCTTTTCTACTTCGAGCTACATTAAGAAAAATGTTATAAATCGAATATGTGATAAGTTCGTGAAGTATTGTCTAGTAGGATATGTAGATTTTTTTTAACAGTGCAGACACGGAGTTTATTTATATTATTTTTTCAAAATATGAAAACACATCATGAATTTTAATAAAAAATTTATACAAGTATGATATTTTTAATATACGAATTATTTAATTAAATTTAATTTTAAGAGGACACCCCTGTGAAAATTTTCTGAATCCGCCACTGATCATAATGGTATAAATAAATAACAACATGGGTGAATAACACTAGATTCTGTGAATAAGTGAGTAACTATTATTGTTTGCGTGAATAATATCAATATTGGGCGAATAAATACCAATGTCAATGTGGCATTAATAAGCACAAAATGTGTGGTCGGAACCTCTAGAGACAACACAACATTTTCCATCGTAAGTATTATTGCATCTATCAGCTGTTTCTTTTGCCTATTTGGGATTTTTTTATTGTACGGTGAAATTTTTCAGACGAATAATAACTTATAAATAAGTTTTCACTTTTCATTATTATCAACTAAGAATCGATCTAGTCTGCTCGTTACAAGAGTGGTGGTAAGGGTTAATAACAAAAACACCCCAATTAATTGTAAATTGACATATATATTTTTTAATTTTAATTTGAAAGTTGATGTCCCCTTCCTGTTACGGGGAAAGAGACGAAAGTAATTTAAAAATACCACTCGAGTGAGAATTGTTCGTTTTCAGCTAAAAAAAACTAAAGGAAAAGGATCAAGGTGACTGTAACTATTTGGCCGAGCTTACGACAGCTACATGTAAGTTTGGTTTCATGTGTTTCGGTTTTGTTTGTTTCATATCCCAATCTTGTGGACGCACTACGCCTAACCACACTAATTAACCACTTCCATATCTTACACTATGGACGACTCAATACGACACTATTCTTTCAACTTTACAGCTCATTCATTTAATCATTTTCAGTTGGAAAATTCAGCACTAACGAAAGTTTAACTTGGCAATTTGCTTATTGTGCATACATGACTTGGACGTAACCGCGTTGTCGTCGTTGGATTGCACATCTATGCATGTGTTACATAGATACGTATATATATATGTATGTTTTGCCTCTAATGGATTATCCAATCTCATCAGATAGTACACTGGATGTGCAACAAGTTACGATTCAAGGCGGTGGGACCCACAATCCCATCGATCTACCTGGCGAAGCAGCTGTCGTCCGACGACACGTGTCACGAGTACGGCCTCAGCCTGTTCAAGCCCCAGCACTCCCCAACTTACCTGAAGCAGTGGCTGGACTCCCAGCAGCCCAAATCGGTCGTCTACGTGTCGTTCGGGAGCGTGGCCAGCCTGTCCGACAAACAGACCGAGGAAGTAGCCGCCGCGCTCGAGAAACTGGACCGGCCGTTCCTGTGGGTGGTCAGGAAATCCGAACAGGACAAGATCCCTCCCGGGTTCGTGGAGGACACGTCGGACAGGGGCCTGGTGGTGACGTGGTGCTGCCAGCTGGAGGTGCTGGCCCACGAGTCGACGGGCTGCTTCGTGACTCACTGCGGGTGGAACTCGACGATCGAGGCGCTGAGCATGGGTGTGCCGATGGTGACGGTGCCGCAGTTCGCCGACCAGCCGACCAACGCCAAGTTCGTGGAGGACGTGTGGGGGGTCGGGGTGAGAGTGATGGTGCGGAAGAGAGACGGGGAAGAGAAAGCAATGGCGAGGATGGAAGAGATCGAGTGGGGCGTGGTGGAAGTGATGGAAGGAGAGAGGGCCAAAGGGATTCGAAAGAATGCGGAGAAATGGAAGACTCTGGCTCGAGCTGCTGTGGCTGACGGCGGGAGTTCGGACAGGAACATTGAGGATTTCGTGGATGAGCTTGTGAACCTGCAGTTGCTCAAAAGGTTGGAGTTGTAAGAATGTGTGTATAGGTATAGTAGATGGAGGTCAAGTTCTGTGTGTGTGTTAATAATTGATGTGTTTGTGTGGGGTGAAAATGAAGCTTTGCTGCCATGTTTCATTATGTTCCAAAACTCTTGACTACTGAATCTACACATGATATGGCAAAAGAGGATTAACCTGAAACAAGCTGGCATTCCATGCTCTGGTCTAATCACAGCAGCCTCTAGTAGCTTCACTTATCAATAAAGTTCGAGGAGGAAGAAAGATTGATACAGGTTTTACACCGATACTAAAATTTCTAGCTGCACAAGTTCCACCGAAGTTGGTACACACTTCCCTACTACCTTCAATCCTAAGCATAAGATTACAAGCAAAACACCTCTTGTTTGAGTTAGCAGGCAGGAATTACTAGAACCGAAAAAAGACATCACAATGCTCCTACCGAAGGTATTGCGTGAATCAACGCTGCATCGCTCGCTGGTTCACCCATAACAGCCACAGCAGTAGGTTTGCCCTAAAAGATATCACATCCTGGGCAAGTTATCCTGCATTGCCAGGGTAGAGGAACACCAGAAATTAACTGACCGACAATGTTAAACATTAAAACACGCATACTGAGACCACAGCAAGGCATAAACTCGGAACATTCTAAAGGGAAAAGGGTTGATGGCTAAGACCCTGGAAGTTCGAGGGGTGAGGGTTTGTGAGGACTGAACACTAATTTAATAATTTTCTTCAAAGAACAAAATCACCAAACATTCAAGTCAGATTGACTATCTGGGCTACTGTCAGGTACCAACGCATCTAGGAATATCTCATCCAAGTGATTGCCTGCGCAACCATGCCTGCCCTATTTCATCAGATAAGCAATGGCCTTGAGTCAATACAGAAAGTAGTAAGAACTGTTACCATTACCATCTGGTAACTGCTAAAACATATGCCCTCAGTTAATCAGACACGAAACATACATAAGATCTAACCATGCGAGTGGTTGTGTGTGGCTTCAGCCTAGTGCCAAGATGACAAACATCAAGTAGAGTGCGTGGTCTTCAAGCATCGACAAACAAAGGATTAAAAATGGACATATGACAATATGTAACTAACCTTATTACTGGAAGGACTGACAACGCAGTGCGTTTCGGATCAAAATGGATATCATCAGACAAAATAACCTTTGCACCTCGTCGATCCACATAAGCATCTCATCCTTCCATGTCCATTGCTACCCCCGGGAACATCATCACGGGGAGTCCCATAATCATAAGTCAACTCTGTCATAGGTGGAATATGTCTCATGGCAAAGAAAGCAACATTCAGATAGGTTTCACTGTTGTTCTCATACACCACGGGTTGCCAGAATGTGTTCGGCTCACAACTGTGATTCATGAACCGGGCCACATTTCCAACATTCCTTGCACTTATGACGAGGGGGTATGGCATATCATACTCCTCATTAGTGTCAATAAGATCCTCCTCTATGAACCCAGGTTCACAATTCCACCTGAATGAATCATAAACCCGGGTTGTATCAAAGACATAATCACCACTGTCGCCTACTTCTCCACTAATAGCCTTATTTGTCGCTTCACCGGCATATATACATATAAAAGTACCGGCACGAATAGGATCCCATGACCTTAGACCCCAACCCCTATCCTTCGTTTTGAAAACTTCCAAGTGAACTTTCAGACCAGTCTGAGACACACGGTTTTTGCAGTTAGCTGTGCAAGGACATGTAGGACCACATTCATAAACTAAGGGCTTCCTACACACGAGAACTCCATTACCAATATATGGGGTTTGCCCTCCATTTTTTGTCATGCAAGCACAGTTTTCATCACCTGATTGGCATGCATTACGGCAGTTGCAGGCAAAAGAAGTCTGATGAGATAATTTAAATGACTTGGAATACCTCACAGAAGCAAGATATGTGAAGCAAGTAGGCCCTCTCTCTCCATCAACATCATTCACAAGCGCAACAGGTATAGTTTCAGCTGCCAAAGTGAGGTCATGCAAAATCAGTCCCACTCTGGAAGAAACTGACTCTTTCCATTGGGCCACAGATTTCCAGACAGAAAATCCACCAGGTTGACCAGACATCCTAACAATCTTATACTTGAATATATTGCAACCCGTTTTTGCCTTCTCCACCCATGATTCCTGAATTGTATAAAGTCCATCATAAACATAAATCTTTGTGGTTGGACTATTAGCATCTTTCAGGCCCCGAATTACCCGGACTTCGTTCCCCTTCTGCAGACTCCTCTCCAATGCAAGATTACCCCTCACCAGCTTCTGATCGGATGCCTCCTTATTCTTGTTGGAGCTTCCTCCATGCCCACTGTAGATAAGGATATCTGTATCATCTGCAGCATTATCATAGTAACCAGATGAAACAATGCTAGTAGCTAGTGGTTCTTCCTCTCTATCACCCCTTACAATCAAATAATCTATGCCAGCCATAGACTGAGCATGCAATCCCACCAAACACATCTCCATCCGGAAGAAGAAGATGTCGCCAATCTCCACTCCAGGGACATGTCCAGTTCTCTTTTTAGTGTTGGTCCTTATACTGTTGCTCATTAAGATAGCACTAGCTTTTAAATCAGCACGCTTGGCGTTTCCGTTATGCTGTGAGTCCTTCACATCCTCTAGTTGGCCAACTTTTCTCCTTAAAGCATCAAACCTCATCAGAATACTAAGAACGGTACCTCTATCACCATCTTCCTTTTGAGCCTGAGTGATCCCCAAAACAACACTGTCATTAGGAGCAGGCAGCAAAAAGTCATCTGGTCCCCTCTTTGCCCTTTTGGCAATAGGGATAGTCCGGACAGCAGGTCGACGGCCCGCGCGCTTAGGAGGCTCAGAGTAAGAGCCACCACCTGTTCCATTCTCATGGGAACTTGGTTCTGGAGCTCGGAATGAGCGAAGTGGCACTGCTGGAGGTTGGGGTGGCGGGCTGGGGTCAGGACCGCCTCCTTGTTGTGGAGAAAAGGGGTAAAATGGAGCAAACCCGGGCGGGTAAGGACCAAAAGGAGGCGAACATACAAATGGAGGACCTTGAGGATTGGACGGAAACACGGGGGTCAAAGTACGAAGGGGTTTCACATCAAAAACCCTTGATTTGTCAAAGGAACCTGGAGAGGGAGTAGAATTGAAGGCCCCGGACCCTCCTTCCATTGCTAATACAAAGCAGAAACAATTAAGGAACCGCCCACTAAACAACCCCAAATTCACAGATCGAAAAAAAGGAGAAAAAAACCGAGATCAGCGACAGGGAGAACCCACCTGGGCTTTTTCACGAACTATTGGTGAGCAACAAGCAATTCTTCCTTTTTCCCTACCCACCCTTCCTGCGACAAGACAAAAGAATTTTTCATTCAATCCCTCCAGAGAACCCCCAAGAAAGGATTTTTTTTTTTTTTTACACTGAAAATGAAGGAAATGGATTAACTTTCTGCGAGATCTTCCCGCGCGCAGGAAGACTGGTGATTGGTGAACGAGCCTGAAAACAGAAGTTACTCCGAAGTCGGAGGAATGGAGAGACTTGAGATTGGATTACCTCTTCCGCACTTCGTAGAGATGAAATGGCATGCAGGAAGAACAGAGAGAACCAGTGCGAGGAGGAAGTGAGAAAGGAGGAGAGTTTTATATTTTTAACTGTCCACAGTGGTTTCTCTTTTCCCTTTCGTTTGCGTTAAAATGGTAAGAGAGAGAAATTTGGTATTGGCGTGGCTCTAATCTATGAGCACTTCCCTATGATATATAGGATTGGTGTTTTAATAGACAACTTAAAGTTGTACCATAATATTAAATGTATAAGTTTATGTTGTACAATAAAGCAATTTGTATCATTATGTGATGATACAACTTACGGTACAACTTTACAACTTGAAATTGTACCATCATATAAAATTACAAGTTCAAATTGTACCATAAAAGAATTTGTACCAAAAGTATAGGTACAATCTGAAGTTGTACCATAACGTAAATGTACAATTTTAAGTTGTACCATAAAAGCAAAAACCTATAGCACAAATACTATATAGCATTGTAAAATTTCTCCTAATCTATGGCTTAAATATTGAGATGACAATTTGTCAATTTCCGATCCAATCTATAATGTCATTCAATCCATCTATTTAAATATTTAATTAATTCAATACTAGAGATGACAATGGATCGGTTCGGGAACGGATAGTCATATTCGTTAACAATCGGGCATAAAATCAAAATCATGCTCATACCCGTTCGAGTTTCGAGTATCCACTGTTATCCATTGGTAATAACTTCTCGTTATAACTCCTACCAACATCTTAACATTCACACGTATAATCACATTATATAAGTGAAAAAGTACGACAATAAATCAACAGAATGAAGAAAATTAATTGAAAACCAAACAAATTTATGAAAATATTATATTTGTAAGCTAAATACAAAATATGTTCAGAAAAAAATGATCATTTCTAGATAAAATACATATGAATGTGTATAATCAGACGGGTTCGGGTTGGATAGTGTGAAAACCGTGCCTACCCATTACCCACAATATTCGGGTTCGGGTTTTACCCGTACCCACTAAAAATCTTTCGAGTTCGGGTTTTACTCTACCCAATTAGGTCAGATTTGGACGGATATCCACGATTGCGGATATTTTTACCATCCCTATTCAATACATTTAAGTTCAATTTATTTTATTCAAATCTAATTTGATTGGTGCATTAATCAATTGATCCATAGATCCAAATGGTCGGATACAATTTAGTTCCTACAGTTTTTATATTCTACTTTTGGTACCTAAAATTATTTTCAGGCAAAAAAATATCATTGGAAAATTAGGTTTTGGTACCTAAATTTTTTCATTATGAAAGTTTGGATACATGGAACAATCCACCAATCCATTTGATCCAATTCATGAATCCACCAGTCCATTTGATCAAATTCATATGATCCAGGGATCCACCAATCCATTTGCTAGCTCTACTTGAATATTATGTTGTTGTTGTCACATCAGTTTAAGTCATTGATTTGAGGTCGAATGAGTTTATAAGTGTCCAACCGGTTTGACTCATTTCATACAATTTTTAAATCTATATAAATAAAATATAAATTTTTAATTTTAGTGACTAAAACATTTATCTATTAGAACTTGGACTTCAAATATGATTTGTGAGTTATCTATATATCACAAACCAAACTTTCGCGGCTAACTTGAATACTATCAATATGCTACTGGTTGTTGCTGACAACTTAGTATGTGGTAACGACCCAACGGAAGGATGGGATGCTAAACATCCAATAGGTTAGCACGGTAATAATCATTCTCATCGCCATTCCTTTCTATTTTTGTTAATCTAACGGTGGTTTTGTTGAAGGGGCAATTTGGGTAAGTATGCATGTGATCCCAACCTAACAAATGTGTGCACTTTTGTGGAAAAAATTCCAAGTTACACATGTTTTTAAAAAAAAATTTCAAAATACAAACGTTATGAAAATAATTCCCAATCTACGTTAGTTTGGGCCATCACCGCTGTCGACGAAGACAGTGATTGCATCACTGTTGTCGACGAAGACAGTGATTGCATCACCGCTGTCGACGAAGACAGTGATTGCATCACCGCTGTCGACGAAGACAGTGATTGCATCACTGCAGTACACGGCCGCGGTGAAGGCCTGACCTGCGTCGAAACTTTAAACCAACGTAACTTTGTGCTCGGTTATCCGATCGTAGCGAAATTTTTTTTGATTCCGCATAATTTTTCGAGATCTTGCAAGCCGCAAATTACCGTAGGCGGTTTGGTCCCGCCTTCGTCTCGAAAATATGTCGTTTGCTACCCCGAACGAGCCTTTTTTTGATTTCGTCAAACTTTGAACGACCATAACTTTGTGCTCCACAATCCGAAAATCATGATTTTTTTTTTTATTTCGCATAAATTTTTAAGGACTACAATTTTTATCATAGACATATTTTCGGAATGTACTTGGATTCCTGAAAAGGAAGGTAAAGTTATTCCCAAAATCCCTTATATCCATAAATAATTCATTTTTTGAAAATTCTCTCCTACTAAATATTTTAGTCCTTAAAAATTTATGCGAAATAAAAAAAAAATTCATGATTTTCGGATTGTGGAGAACAAAGTTATGGTTGTTCAAAGTTTGACGAAATCGAAAAAAGGCTCGTTCGAAGTAGCAAACGACATATTTTCGAGACGAAGGCGGGACCAAACCGCCTACGGCAATTTGCGGCTTGCAAGATCTCGATAAATTATGCGGAATCAAAAAAAATCGCTACGATCGGATAACCGAGCACAAAGTTACGTTTGTTTAAAGTTTCGACGCAGGTCAGGCCTTCACCGCGGCCGTGTACTGCAGTGATGCAATCACTGTCTTCGTCGACAGCGGTGATGCAATCACTGTCTTCGTCGACAACAGTGATGCAATCACTGTCTTCGTCGACAGGGGTGATGGCCCAAACTAACGTAGATTGGAAATTATTTTCATAACGTTTGTATTTTGAGAAATTTTTTTAAAAATATGTGTAACTTGGGATTTTTTCCCACTTTTGTTTGGGAGAAATTGATAAATTGCTCCTTCCTTTCAGCCAATAATCTTTTTTTTCTCTCTCTTTCTTTCTCTCCTCAATGACCCGGAGCCAAATTGTTTAGTCTCCGCCCTCCTCCTCCTCGTCGTTGTCCCCGTCATCGACCTCCCTCTCCTACGTTGTCATCTGCATTGGTTTATCGCGTTGTCGTCGTTTGCATCGGCCTCGTTTACCGTCATCGTCTGCACCATCATCGCGGCTGTCGTCTCCTCCATAGCCCTAACAATCGTGCGCCCTCGCCTTCGCATGTGTCACTGCCGTCAGGTATAGTGTTGAAGATCTGCTATGGAGGCCTTCGGGTGGGTGTAGGATTTCGGATCCAATCCCTTTCTTATTTGTTCAATCGGATTCGTATATAGTTCCTTCATTTAACAACGGCCTCTTGTCTTCTTCAGACCTTATTTGGTAACTGAATCGCTATTTGCTGCCCGCCCCTTTACTATTTGCCGCCCGTAGTTACAAAAAATATGACGAATTTGCCCCTCCTTCTAACTAACCCTAAATCCTATCAAACTCATCCCTCACAACCTCCTCGCACAAATTGCCGGCGGCGGCGACCGCTGCTCCCACCGCCGACCCCTCTACTGCTCCCACCACCAACACCTCCATTCCTCCGACCTGGTCCGCCGACCCCTCCACAACCTCCCCTCACAAAGTCGCGGACGTTGAAGAGGAAGGAGCTCGCCACGGGTGCTGTCGTCGCCGACGTAGAGGAAGGGGTCCGACCGCCGGTCGCGGACGGGGTCCGACCGCCGGAAGCGGACGGGGTCCGATCGCCCTTCGCGGACGGGGTCCGAAATCCATCGGCGGACCGGTTTCGAAAACCGTCGGTTCCTGTTTTTTTTTTCAAAAATCGTGTTTGAATTATAATTTATTTATTTAGTAATTAAATAAGTGTAAAATACCATAATTAGGATTTAAATAATTATAAGTATGATAATTAAGCAAATTGAAGAGAATTTTTTAAGGCAAGTTTTCGAAAGAGAAAATTGAGTAGTAAGTTTTCGGAAGAAAATTTCTGTAATTAACAATATATTATTTTGATTATATAATACATCTAATGATTATCATTTATTAATATATTAACATCCCAATCCAAATAAGTTAACAACTCAATCCACTTATGGTAGTTGATTGAGGGAATTAGGGTTTGACTTAATAAGGGTTTGACCCGAATTAGGGTATGACCCGAATTAAGGTTTGATTTAATTAGGGTTTGACCCGTATTAAGGTTTGACATAATTAGGATTTGACCCAAATTAGGGTTTGACTAAATTATATATTATTTTGACCACAGTTGTTTGAGGGAATTAGGGTTTGACTTAATTAGGGGTTATCCAAATTAGGGTTTGACTTCTATAGGGTTTGACCTGAATTAAGGTTTGATTTATATAGAGTTTGACCCGAATTAAGGTTTGACATAATTAGGGTTTGACTAAATTATATATTATTTTTGACCACTGTTGTTTGAGGGAATTAGGGTTTGACTTAATTAGGGTTTGATCCGAATTAGGGTTTGACTTAATTAGGGTTTAACCACAGTTGAAATATAATTTAGGTACGTTGATCTTATTAAATATGAAATAAATACAATTAAAAACATAATTTATACACTACTTCAGATAATTTGTAATTATTTAACATACTATAATTATTTAATTGGTATTATACTGAATTTATTTATTTTAGCTCTGTTTGGGATCCTTTAAAGATAGTGTAATAGTGTTTACGTTATTGTGGGAATGTGGTAGGTTAGTAGTGATTTTTGTTTTCAGGAATATTAACTGTCTCTAGCGGAAATCCTACAAAATCCGCACGTCCCCTTTCCCATAAATCAATATTAACTTCGTCTTTTAACTTTTTGACTCTTGGTTTCTAATTATACCCCTTTTTAATTGTAGCCATCGCATTTAAAATATAAGTGGACGGTTTAGATATTAGTGAGCAAGGTGCTAACCCTATATAAAATTAGCACCCTATCTTCTCTCCTGACTGGTCATCCTGCTTTGTCTGCATATCCCATTTATGTACACATGGACTTCAGCTCCACCGCCATTCAGATTTCTTTCGTTTCTCTTCAGGGCTTTTATCCTTTGGCTCATTATCAGATTACTGACACATATTAGTTTATTACCAAAT